TCTTGAGTGGGCTAACCAGGGAAAGAAATCCTGGTCACAGTCTCTGTTCTTGGGATTCACTGGGGATCAGTCAAGGTCAGCCTAGGTTGGGCCCAATATACATCTCTTGGATGCAACAGTCACATCAGTGTTAATGGGAAGTGAGGGACAGTCCAGTACTACATACTTTTAAGCAAACAAGAAAGGACATCAGGAGAGAGGTCAGTGTCTAGCATTGTCCTATGTGGTCATGTACCATCACAGTTAATTCTCAGTTTTTAGTGGAGGTGACTGCCATGCCTCTGGCCTAGCGGTTTGGGGTCCTCCTCTGGTCCTCTCACCAGAAGATGCTTTCATTCTACAAATGACAGATGCCAGGTGGGAGCCTCCCTTTCTGTCCAAAGACCTCCTGTGGTCCTGGGGCATGACTCTGCGCAGTCTGTTTAGGGCTAATGGAGACAGCAGTAAAGACGGAAGGGAAGAGAATGCAGCCTCCAAAAGGGGAGTCTAGGTAAGCCCTCTGGACCCATGGACTCTCTGCGTCCTGCTGCTGCCCTAGAAGCCCAGGTCCTTCTTCCCTTCCCATATGACCCTGCCTTTCTACTCTTAAACACATTCTTTATCTTATGGCAACACCTCAGTCCATCCACTCATACCTGTTCTCCTGGACTACTATCCCTTTACAATGTCATCAAGCTATTATCCTCCATCTCATCTACCTTTCACAATCAAAGTCCTAGAATGGGAAATGTCATCATTGACATTTCTTATCTCCTGCTATTTTTCTCAGTTCTTTGCAGGCTGCCCTCCAATCCCACTGCCAAACTGCCCAAATCCAAGTTTGCCAACCATCTATTAACTGCTAAATCCAATGGCCTTTTCCACTAAAACTCTGGAGCTTGGAACATTATACAACACTCTCTCAAGGGCACTCTCCCCACAGAGTATTTAAAGTTGGAAGAGACCTCAGAGGCTTTCTGCTTTGAACTATCTTCAGAAAGACACCACACAATCTATAAGTAATCATTCAACCTGCCTGAAGATCCCCAATGATAAAAGTACCTATCACCCCTTAAGAACATTCCATTCATGGACAGTTTGTGTTCTGGAAGGGGGGAAAGTCAATCAGGTTGGCCCCAACTTCCTTAGGTAGTCACCTACCTTGTGGCAGCAAACACCAAGGCAATGCCAACTATGAGGTACAGAATGACAAACTTATGTCACCCAAGGACCAACTTAGCTATGATCAGAAAGACTCAACATCAAATAGGCCGGTGTCAGGGTGATGAAACTTTAGGCCTCAGCCACTCCTGAAAACCATCTACCATGAGTCATAGAGGTTGTAATCTGCTTTGGTGGAATCAAGTTGATCAAATTACAGGTATCCAAGGTGTTATAGAAACCACTGAAAACAAAATTTAGGTTAAAAAAAGTGTGACAGCAGTAGTTGGTCAACAATTGGTTTCTGTAGGTGTCTGCTATTAGTCTAGGAGCATGAATGTTAGATAATGGCCTCCTCAGGGCACAAACCACTGACTGACTGAACGACTAATCCGTGAGGGTCCAGTGCATGGTTCTTCTCCCAAGGAGCACTCCTCAAACATCTTCCACTGTCCTTGCAACCATGATGCTGAAACTGGCATAGACTGAGTCTGAAAATCATGTCAGCCTAAAATAAAATTAGGCTATAGGGAAATGAAAATATCCCAAACCACAGCAATTTTCATCTTTCTCTAGAATTCTGAAGTCCATGTGATGCTAACAAATGTTGGGCTTGTCAAGACACTGATTAAAAACTGCTGTTCTTTGTGATACTAAAGTAGGTATCATTGATTGGGGAATTGCTAAAAAGTTGTGGTACATGAATATAATGGAATATTACTGGGTTGTAAGAAACCATACACAGAGAAGCAGAGATTACTGATGCAGAGTAAAGAACCAGGAAATAAATACACAATGGCTATTCTAATGTAAATGGATAAAATGGCTAAAAGTGACTGCTTAAAAAAAATTGCAAAGAAGCAGAAATCCAAAGAAGAGATCTAAGAAGACATTCCTACTCTACCTCTTTGTAGAGGTGGGAGGTCCACTAGTGTGGCATATGGTACATATTTTGTTGATTTTGTTTTCCTTTTTGTCTTTTAAAAGATTGTTATATGGGATGGTTCTCTGGGAAAGGGGTGGAAGAGGAAGATGAGGGGAAACTTCGGTGAATTTTTTAAGAAGGCATCAATAAAAAAATTTAAAAATATTTTTAATGTCCAAATCGTTGATCTCAGCTGTCTCACTATTGGGCATATACCCTATGGGAGTCAACTATAGAAACACAAGTCCAACATATACCAAAATATTCAAAGTAGCAGTCTGGAAATGAAGTGGGTGTCATTCAGCTGAAGAACAGCTAAAAAAACCTATAGCATATAAATGCAATACTGTTGTACAATATAAAATAACCAATTAAGAAATGAGAAACAAGATTTATATGAAAAGATGCTGAGCAAAGCTGAACTGAAAGAATATACATAATAACCGTAACAATGTAAATAAAAGATTCACTCATATATTAAAGTCCCCAAACAGGTAAGTAAAACCTCTTATCCCACAGGCAGAGGAGGGAGACTAAGGCCAGAGCCTTTATATATCATCAGACTACAGAGACAGTATTGAATTGCTTTTTTCTGTCACAAAGGAGGATTTAACCTGATCTAGAAATGACTGACATAAAGAGATAAGGCATTGGCTAGTTTCCTTGGGATCTCATGTCGAGTATTAAAATGTTTACCAATAAAGGGAGACAGAGCATATCCTTGGCTCCACCACTCCTCACTCTCTCTACATCCCCACCCTCAAAACTTTTCATGAGTTTTCTTGAGGTTGGTAGGAAAATGTCCCTTCCTAACTTCTCAAATACCTAGCTCATATCATCTGACATAGAGGACTGGCTCATTTTGGGGAGGCCTAACCTCACACTATTAGCTTGAATAATAAATCATTCTCTCTAGATGATTTTTTTCTAATATCAGAAAACTATGGCTGCAGTTATTTTTTTTTTTGTAAGCCTAAAGAAGAGAAAATAATTCATGAAAAGGAAGTTCGTGGATCATAGGTCATGGCTAAGAAAGGCATGAGCAATGTAGCCTCCTCCTGGGATCATTTTCACCCTAGTCAATTCTTACAGTAAAAGACAGGAGATCTTTAAAAATGAACACCAGTCATTCAATATTCAACATATGGCTTCTATAAGAGTTTAAAGGACATCTTTGCAGCACCAGGGTAGTGTGGAGTGCCTCGCATAGAGTATGGGGCTCAGTAAATGTATGAATTTGTTGACCTGAATGAATTCAGTCAGCATTTATCCTCTCTTCCAGATTTGTTTCTGACAAGAGTGAGACACTGAATGACCTGTTTTTGGAATCCTCCAAAGCACTGGCTACTTGTTAGTAATGGTGTCCCCTTGAGCATCTTAGAATTGATCCAGATAGGTACTTTAAATGACAAACACTGCAGCTAGAGAGTCACATGGTCAACATCTTACCAATTTAATGACAAATACATTGTACTGGTAGCCAAATACCAGAGTATTGTCCAGAAAACCATTATTAAATAAAAACAACCTGAATACAGTAAGGAAATTCCATGCCCACCCCCCCATCCAAAACACAAAATTTTGTTATCCTGAATCTCTTTAAATTATCATTTTCACAAATTACACTGCATTCAAATGTGCACAAGTTCAAAAAATGACAGTTCAGATTGTCTAAAAAATAAATTCTTAATTTAAATGACACATGCATAGCCTCTGATGAAGCTGGAGAGGTCCCACAGAGGGGCTATGCAACAGCTCCAGATGGGCTTAGAGTACTGGTACAATTTCTCAACTTGTTTGTTTCCAAATCCATGCACGAGCTTTAAAAAAAAAACCACTGAATCTCAGTTAAAACTACTTGTCTAAACTAAGGAATCCAGATTAAAAACAAAAAATGTGACCCTGTGGTGACAAATGGATTGATGGATAATAATTATTTTCATATTGCTTAACACATTCAAGGGTGCCACAAAGAGGGTATATGCTCAAGAATATTCTAGAAGAAAATTAGAGACATAAAACTGAAAACTTTGGGAGGACTGAGTACAGGCACACTCTATACAGATGAGTTCCTGAAAGGTTCCATCGACTGTATAATCGAATCAATCAGGACAGAAGAAGTTATTACACCTTTGTCCCTGCCCCATCCCACCCCTTTTGGTTATAATGTTTAACTTAAAGTGGGGTAAAACAGCATTCAAGCTGTAGCTGACTCTTTTCTGTGAGAATGAGACAAGTACAGGTAAATGAGATCTAAAGCAACCTCCCCCCTTATTTCAATGATAAATTTCCAATATCTCTATTCCCTTTTCCCCACCTTCCCCTCCCCCAAAAAAAAATTCCCAGGGAAGGGGATAGGAGTTCATCTTTTTGACCACCTCCTTTCAAACAGAGATATTAATGCTAGAAAGAGAAGCAAAAGGATGGTTTGATTCTCAAACTGGAGAAATGGCCCATGATCAAGAAGGCCTGTTATTAAATTAGTAATAAGCAATGTAACCAACAGGTATCCAGAGAAGAAGTTTTTTTCCCTCCTTAAAGCTATAAATTTAGACTGTTAAGATAATCACCGGACATGTTTTGCTTTTTTTAACCTCTAATTTTGTTGTGTTTTTTGAGAAAAATGCATTCTAAAACTACATTCACAATTCAAATATTCATTTGCATCTGTGAGACCTAAGTGGTACAAAGTCACCACAGCATGTGCAACAGACCAGAATTATCAACAGGATTCAATTAAAAATGAAATGCCTTTTAAGTTGATGTTTTTTGTTTGTGGCAGTGTAAACATCTTTTCTATAGTTCTCCCAAAGTTCTCCCAGGACAGGACTGTCCATATTAATGCTCTTTTTCTTTTCTTTTTTTTTTTAATTTTGGAGGCAATGGGAGTTAAGTGACTTGCCCGGGGTCACACAGCTAGCTAGTAAGCATCTGAGGTCACATGTGAACTCGGGTTCTCCTGACTCCAGGGCCAGTGCTCTATCCACTGCGCCACCTAGCTGCCCTTGAGTATATTAATTCTAAGGAAATCCACAGACAACCTTTGGCCAAGAATGTAAAGGGCCAAAATGACAATTTTGGAGCTTCCTTCCTCCAGGCTGGAATTTCCAAAAATCAGAGTCTGTCTGTGAAGTAGATCTATGGGAGACACAAGGTACTGGCTCAGAAGCCACATTTTATTTCTTACTTGTTCCCATTCTAAAGGCTTTTCTGGGGAAGGGAAGGGAGAATGGTAGACTCTAGCACAGCACCCTTGATCCACAATCCTTTAGTGTTAACACATGGCTACCAAAGGCCAGTCTTACAAATGAGGGAATACCTTCCCTGCTCCTTTCTAGAGTAGCCCTAATTTTCCCAAATAGGAATTTAGAAACAGCCCTTAAAATAGGCAACAATTGTCTCACTAGTCAAAACACAAAACAAAGAGGCCAGACTAGACTATTTTATACTCTCAAGCCTCTCTTAAGACCAGTTTTCAATGCCTTAGTCTTCTTTAAGACAGCGGCCATAATACTGATGGATCTCACAAGCAATGTGATGAGTGGCTATGATAAAAATGATGACGCACCTTTCTAAGTACAAAAGTGCTATTTGGCATTCTTATCAGCACCTACAGGATTCAGTCTTTGCTGGTGCTAGGTAAGTGTTTGCATTTATACTTTCCCCAACCTCTGCCCACTGTGGGTACCATAAACCAGATTTTCTTTTAGAGAACAGCCTCTAATTTCTTCTGTGAATTAACAGTGGAGGAAAGCTGGACTGGGGTGAGGTTGAAGCCCAGTGTTTCTCCTTCACTTTCAATGAAGAAGGCAGGAAATGAGAAGCAAAATGGGACAGGAACCAAAGGACAATGGACTCGGTACATTTACTTTCCTGGGATTCTCAGAGGGGTCAGCAAAATTAGTAGAAAAAGCCATTTGGTTTTCCACTGCAAAGATTATCTGATGTTTACATGAGGAAGCAAGCATTACACTGTACTGAGGAGAACCACCCCACAAATCTAGACTAACGCTGTTTTCCCTTCCTTTTAAAGTCACATACGTGTATCTAATATAACATAAATCATGGACCTAGCACTCAAACTCCAGGACAGAGGATGGGAATATTTGGTACACAGGGTAGAGGAGAGGGCTTCCATGAGGACTGGGTGAGGATACCAGAAAACTGGAAGCAAAGCAGAAGGCAAGTAATGGAGTGGCTTCCTCTCCACAGACACTTCTCCCTTAAAATGTGCTACTTTCCACCCCAGTTTCCCTGGAAGCCTCAAAATAGCAGCTAAATATGGCCCAGAGAAAAAAGGGATGGGCGGAGAAAATAAAATTTTCCCTTCCACAGTCCCGATGGAACACTTTCCTTTCCTTGGCTCAAGAGACAAAGTTGAAGGGGAAGGATTTGTAGGTGGTCGTGAGGGGATGGAGATGGACCACTAGGTACATCACCTATTACAGGAGGATCCTAAACCAGGAACAAGTCCTGGCCTTTATTTCTCTTCCTGTAGTTTTTATCTCCCCCTCCCTTCACCTCAGTACTAACCACATACTTCCCTGATTTAAGACCCTATCTGCTGTTACCCTATTTTCACTCCTCCCCTCTCAATACTATACTTCTCTCTTGCTTCTCCTCACCCCCATCCGCTTTCTTGGTGAGCCTAAAACAACCACTTGTAAAAGCTGGATTCAATAAAGGACTGGCTCACTCCAACTACCTTTTCTCATGAGATGGAGCAGAGGCAATTACAAATCTCCTGAAATTTTTTATAAGACTAGGAAAAAAACCCTACTCAACCCTTCCCTACCCAGAGGATATCCAATTCTCAGGGACTCCCCGTTTTGGAGGAGAATATGTGCCCTCCCCACATTTACTCCCAATCTGGTAACTATCCCCCACCCGCCCCTGCCCATACCCTTCCCTGCTGGTCCTAGCAGAGATGCATCTTTTGGTGCTGGGCCAGGTGGGTTTTGTAGCGAAAGCCTTTCCCACAGCTGGCACATTTGTGCGGCTTATCTCCAGTGTGGATGCGGCGGTGGCGGATGAGGTGGGAGCTTTGGATGAAGCTTTTGCCACACTCAACACAAGCGTAGGGCTTTTCCCCAGTGTGGGTACGCTGATGTTGGGTGAGGGTAGAGAAGTCACTGAAGCGTTTCTCACATTCTGCACAACCAAAGGGCTTCTCCCCAGTGTGGACCCGGAGGTGGTTCACCAGGTGTGAGTTCCTCCCAAATCCCTTGCCACATTCACTGCATACATAGGGGCGCTCACCTGAGTGAGTGCGCTTGTGGGTGAAGAGGTGGGAACTGACGCTGAACGTCTCACCACACTCAGAGCACATGTAGGGTTTCTCTCCTGTATGCACTCGCTGGTGCTTCACCAGGTCTGAACGCCAGCTGAAGCGCTTGCCACACTCACCGCATCCATGTGGCTTCTCACCAGTGTGGATACGCTGGTGGTTGGCCAGATGAGAGCGCCGCATGAAACCCTTTCCACACTCCCCACAAGCAAAGGGTCGCAACACCGCTGGCCCGGCTCCATTAGCTGCAGCGTGGGCCCGCCGATGGCTCAGAAGGTGGGAACTGAGACTGAAGGCCTCCCCACACTCAGGGCACGAGTAAGGTTTCTCCCCTGTGTGCAAACGTCGGTGTTTGAGCAGGTCTGCACGCCAGCTGAAGCTCTTGCCACAGTCAGAACAAAGGTTGGGGCGTTCACCTGTATGCAGGCGGAGGTGGTTTGTTAGATAAGTATTGCGGCTGAATCCTTTACCACATTCTCCACATCGGTATGGCTTCTCTCCTGGGGTCCGGGGCAATACAGAACCCAAGGTTCCTGTACCTCCCAAACCCACCATGCCCACTACTCCCCCACATTCTGTTGCAAAGCCATAAGGCTGGACACCAGCCACCGCAGCTGCTTGGGCCAGGCGATGCATGCGCTGGTGCTGAATGAAGGCTGTGCCTGGGCTAAAGCTTTCACCACAATCTGAACAGATGGTGGGGGCTTCCATGATGCTAGCCATCAAGCTGTTGAGCTCCCCAAAGTCTACAGCCATCGAGTGATGGAGAGAATGGAAACGGCGCTGACCAGAGTTGCCCTCCCGTTGGCACTTCCCTATGGAGAGGCGTCTCCTCCACGGCAGGGTTGGGGTCTCTTCCTCCTCCTCCAGTCGGCTCTCTCCAGCACTCTCCTCCTCCTCCCTGGGACTCTGGGTTATGCTCTCTGACTCAGATAGTCCTGAGAACATCCCCATCTCAACCACCTCAGGATCTTCTACATCATCTTCATTTTCCTCATGGACAGCTGCCACTTCTTCTTCCTCACTGAGCAGCCTGTCATCTGTTAGGGGGGAAAAAAGAATACAAATAGGATTTATTTTTCTTTTGAGTTTAGGGGAATTTTTGGTAAAACCAAATGAAGCCTAACACTCATCTTCCAAAAAATGTGCATGATCCCATCTCAACCCTGCCTCCACAGTACTATTCCCAACATCAACCTCCCATCAAATCCTTTAGAAGAAGGTCCTGGTGGAAGACAAGACTCTGGTCATTTGTCAGTGAAACCCAAGGCAAGGTCCTCCATCCCACTCAATCAAGGTGATGTGATGCTGCATAACTGCTATGCCCCACCCACCCTACAGTCCCTGTTCTCTCCATGGGAACTAAAGGACACTCAACTTATATTTTCCCCTTTTGGGCTCTTGGGGCAGCTGTAGAGAGGGAGTTCCAGGCAGAGGAAGAAGCTGGCCATTCAAAAAGCCTCTCCACACCTTTCCAAGGTAGTCCCAACACTGAGAATGAGAAAATACAACTATCCCACTCGGCCATAACAGACAAATAAGCAATAGGAAGTACCAAGCACTTTGCAAAATACAGTTAGTCACTCTATATAATGTCTCAATGAACCAAGCAAAGAATCTGGGAATTGAAAAGCCAAAAAGATCTAGGCCCAAGTCTTTGGCCTTCACACACTGGGTGATTTTTGGGGAAGTCACTTCACCCTTCTGTGCCTCCAATTCATCACCCCCAAAGATGGAGGAAGGGAGAGGTGGAGAGAGAGAAATAAGCTTACTGGTAAGCTTAATCATGGGACTGAGCAACTTTACCCTAGGCCACTGTCTCCTTTCCATATTTCATCTCATCGTTACAAAACCAGACATAGCTGTGAAGCATATTTTGCAAAATACTACATCCATGGGGGAAGAACAGAGCTAGAAAGTGAACACAAAGAGCAAAGCTAAAGGCCCAGGTTAGAGGTTCAGGCCAGACTTCATCCAGCTTCTTGCTTCTTATTCCTAAACAGAAGGTATTCCAAGAATTAAGACCAAGGCTGCTTAGTTAGGAAAAGCTGCATGCCTCTGTGCATTGTAGGGGTTGGAAGAAGAGGCTGGGGATGAATTAGAGGAAAGAACGTAATCTTAATATCCCAGCCATGAGATATGTTGACTACTTCCATACCCTGGGAATCCAGGAGGTGTAACAAAGCCAGCCAGTATTCGAAGACACAAACTTATGAAGACTAAGGCAAAGCATACCCCCTTTCCATCCAGGAAGCAGTCACAGCTTCCTTCCACTTAAGTCTCTTCCCCCATACCTACCAGCATCACCTCAATCAGGTCTGGATTGAGGATAAGGATCCACTCTTGGCCCGACACTGGAAAGGGCTAGGAAACTGCAGAATCCAGGTGTTACGGAAGGAGATGCCAAGCTGGGTTTCCACAGCATGTTGGTGGTACTGTAGCCCATATTGCCTCAGTCTCCCCCAGAGGCCTCATTCAACACCTAATGCAACTGCTGGTTACAATACTAGAGGAGTTAGAACTGAACGTACTCAGGGCAGCTTCAATGGAAATTCCAGCTTTACATATAATGCACTCCTCACCTGTGTAGATGTCTGTCACCATCTCCCTCTCCTCTGAGTTCTCCTCTCTGTATTTCTCGTCCAGCAGGTCCGAGCCCACCTCCCTCTCCTCCGAGTCGTCCTCTCTCTCATCCATGTACTGCAGGTCTGAACCCATCCCCCTCTCCTCCGAGTCCTCGATATCTGAGCCCATCCCCCTGTCCCCTGAGTCCTGGAGTTCAGACACACCCAGTTCTTCCTCTTGTTCCATCCAGGAAAACCAGGCCAGGAATTGATCAGAGATTCCTGCTCACAGACGAAAATACACACAAACACACAAAAATAAAAGGTTAAATGACTTTGTGAGGGATTTCATTAATTCAATTCAACAACTCAACAAACATTTATTAAGACTGTAAGGCACTGTGCAAAGATAGATAGAATTTAGGTCCTGCTCTCAGGGAACATACAAATTAATGATGATAGGAAGGGATCAAATACGTAAATAACTACGATATAAGGGAGGTTGAAAAAAGTACAAAGGAGAGATATGGGGAAAATGTTCTAGAAATGTGAGGAGGAAGAGCTCACATTCTAAGCAAAAAGAAGATAGGGAAGGGAGAGTTTGAGGGAAAGTTTCATGGAAGAGGTGACATCTGGGTTTGTCCTGAGCAGATAAAAATAGGGCCTAGAGAGGAAAGTCCATTCTAGACACGGGGAACAGTGAACAAAGTCACAGTGAAGGGATAGGCGAGATGGAGATACGGAGTAAGGCCAGAATGTACAGTATGTAATGAAGAATAGTCTGAGAATATACTGGAGAAGTAAGTTGGAGACAGATCATGTTGGCCCGTGGAGTCTAGTCAGGAGTTTGTACTTTATTCAGTAAGCAACAAAAAGTCTAGAAGGTTTTTGTGCAGCAAAATGACATGACCCTAGAGATGTTTTGGAAGAACATTCAGGCAGCATTTGAGCAGAGGATGGATTGGAGAAGGAATATATTGGAGGGGAGACTAATTGGTTAGCTAAGAATCTAATGTTTTAGGTGAAAAGAGACAAGGGCTTAAGCAAGTGTGGCTGTAGGGGGAATAGAGTGCCACAATGCATTCCAAACATAATAATTGGGGTATGAAACTGAGAAGAGGGGAGGGACATATGGAAGAGAGAAGGAATTGATAATCATAGATGACTCCAAGGTTATAAGTTTGGGATACCGGGGGATGGTGGGATATGGAGAAGTCAAGAAGATGAGACACAGTCTTGAGATGATTCTTCGATGATGGTATACTGACTCAGAACACCACAGATTAACATTAGTTGTACTGTGTTTTTAACCTACTTCATTAAACATTTTGGTTTACAGTTTAATTACAGTTTAATGGAGCTTGGGCTGCTTGCACTTGGGAGTTGTGCAGGCCACCTGCAGCAAGTCTGAAATCCCTGCTCTATGAGACTGATCCCCTCCACATGCCCTATGATCCCATGACTTTGGCCTCCTTGCTGCTCCTCAAACAAGAGAAGACATCCCATCTTCCAACTGCGGGCATGTTTACTGGCTATCCTTCATGCCTGGAATTCTCTCCCTCCCCATCCCTGCTTCCTGGCTTCCTTCAAGTCCCTGCCAAAATCCCAACTTCCACAGGGAGCCTTTCCTGATCCCTCTTAAGTCTAATGCTTTCCCTCTATTGATTGTTTCCAGTTTATTCTGTGTATAGCTTGTCTGTACATAGTTGCATGTTTTCTTCTCCACTCAAGACTATGAACAGGGCTACCTTTTTGCCTTTCTTTGTATCCCAAACCCTTAGCATAGTGCCTGGAACATAGTAGGTGCTTAACATAAGAATTTATTAGGCATCTACTATGTACTATTTTTGTTGTTGTTCAGTCATTTCAGTTGTGTGCAATTTTTCTTGGCAAAGATATGGCAGTGGTTTGCCATTTCCTACTCTAGCTCATTTGACAGATAAGGAAATTGAGGAAAACAGAGTTAAGTGACTTGTGCAGGGTCACACAGCTAGAAGTGTCTGAGGCCGGATTTGTACTCAGGTCTTCCTAACGTCAGGGCCTAGAGCTCTATCCACTGTGCCACCTAGATACTAGGTCTACAGCATCTTAAAACCATAACACCTTCGACAGGAATCCTCAGTATGTCCCTATATCCCTGCATGTTCCCTCTGGACAGCAATAGATGAGTGAGTGAGTGAATCAAACATTTATTAAGTATGTTCTATGTGCCAGGCACTGTGCTAAGTGCTATCATTCCTTATTCGGGTTTTCTGCTCTCTCAAATCAGGCTTGGCCCCATTTACCTTGCATTCCCAACAAAAAAAAAATGCTTCATGGAGTGACCAGCACATGAATTGTGTAAAACAAACATACAAACAAACGCATTACAATAACATCACAGGCTCCCAAACTTGTATGGCTGCCCTCAGTCTGCCATTTCAAAGATATGGGCGTGATGTCAAGAGTGCCCAACAGTAGAGACAAAGATAATATATTTCTGCCACTGTTACTCCGTGCGTACGGCAGAGCAAGTTCTTCGCCAGGGTTCTCCTGGTTAAAGGCACTGGAGGTGTCTGCTGCAGACACCAGGACAGAAAGGTAAGTACAGAACAAGGGCGCTTCTCCTCTAGAAATAAGTCGTCAGCCAAGGTTAACCTTTCCCGGACACTCTGAACCTGACCAGGTTGCTGCTCCCTAGCCCAGCTAAGTCACTGTGGTCAAGCTTATCATTTCTACCTACAAAACATCCCTCCCTCCTTCTAGGTAGCTTTAGGATCTTTGACACAACTACCACCCTGGTGTAGGTCCTAACCACCTCACTTTTGGATTAATACAACAGCCATTTAGTTGGACTCACCATCTCAAGCCTCTCTCAGATCTGGCCCACCCTCCACTCAGCTGCTTTCCTTAAGAGCAGACCTTCCCACCCCCTCACTCTTAATAAACTTCACTTGCTCCCTCCACTGGATAAAATATAACACCCTCCTTAAGGCTTTTAAGGCCTTTACAACCTTTCCAGTTTCATTCCTTCCCCATCCCACCCCATTCCCTTCCACCTAGGCCATGATCTAGCTACCCAGACCCAACTGGCTACATCCTTACAAAGAACATTCCTCTGGAATTCTTGCCCTCCTTACCTCTACCCCACTAGTTTCCTTCAAAACTTAGCTCAAAGTCAACCTTCCACGTACAAGATGACTTTCCAGGTCCTTCCACTACTAGATAATGCCCTCCCAAGTAGACCACACACTCCCACACACATCTTGTGTATCCAGGATTGTTTTCATGTTGCCTCCCCCATCTGAATGTGAGCTTCCTGGGGACAGAGGCTGTTTCTGTATTCTTGGCAGTAAGCACAATTCCTAGAACATATTAAACCCTTAATAAATGCTATTTGACGGGCAACCTCCTAGATGAAAGGAAGTTAATAGTAATTAATCATTATTGTGATTTACATATTACAAATATATTTGTATTCATGAGATTAAACAGATACAGAAACAAAGCTACATCCTGATGCAGATTAAACAGTAAGAGTATTTAAAAAAAAAAACATTGGCAAGGCGACACCATGTCCAGGAATTGGTGGGATAGTAAAAAGAATTCCAGTCCCTGGGTGTGTCTATGAGAGGGCAAGGGGCATTTATCAAACAGGAGAGCAGAAGGAAGCTTAAGTCAGAGGCCAGGTGCCCATGCCCTCAGAGTGGGAGCTACAAACCAGGGAGTGAATATGTATGAGGGAAAGTAGGTCTCTGGGTACGAACACCTCCCATCCCCAGTTCTCACTGTAGCAGGAGAATGAGGATGGAGCATGGGTATCGAACAACTGTGAACAACCCTCAGAACTAATACTGTGTTCAGAATGACTGCGTGCATGGAGAACAGTGCTTTCTAGAGCCAGGAAGAAGCCTGTTGCCTGTGTTGCTGGGCAGAACCTCTGAGTAGCCCTGGGGTCTTAGTGCCCATCTCTATAGATAGAGTCCAGTATTTCAGTGGCCCTAAGGAGAAGCCCCTTTACAGAGACTACATATTTAAATGGCACAGACCTGAGACTCTAGTATTCATTACCCAAGAAAGGAGTAGAGGAAGAGAAGCCCAAGCTTTGGTGTGAATGGTTCTTTCTGAAGCTGGAAGCTTCCCTAAGCATCCCAAGAGGTGCCCATCTGTTCTACCCTTCTAGTGAGAAGGCAGCAGTCCATTCCCTTCCCAGCTGACGAGCACTTCCTTATAATTAAGTCGAAATCCTGCCCTTGTTTCTATGACCCATCGATGTCAACACTTTTTGCTCCAGGGCCAAGCAGGCTGTGAAATAGAGCTTGTCTCTCTTCCAAACAGGAGTCATTCAAACCAATTATTCCCTGACCCTGGTGTCTGGAGAATATTTTGCCTATGCCTGTAGGCTCCTCTGTATCAGAAGTGACCAGCCTGGGAAGCTTACCCAGCTATCCAATACTGATTCTGGGCTCAGTCATTACAGAACCTGGTAACATGGAAGCCCTGTCCCCTGGTTCTTCCCCTATTTATGGTGGGCAAACTCTCAGCTCCCAGTCTGCAGAGATAAAAACTCTTTCTCCCTCCTATGTCCTCCCCACACACTCTTCCCTAGCCCTGTTAGTACCACCCCTAGTCAGTTAATCAACAATTGTTTACCATTCTAAATCTTCCTCTGCCCCTCTCCTTTACACATACTCTCTCTTTGATATTTCACCAGCTGTCATGGATTCAATTACTACCTATGTACAAATGACTTCCGAATGTATATGTCCTGTTCTAATCTCTCCTCAGCTCCAGCCCTATATCAGTTTCCCACTGGACTTCTCCAATTAGATGTCTTGTTGACATGACCACACTCAATATGTCCCAAACAGGATTTTATTTCCCCTAAAACCCATTAACTACCCTCCTCCAAACCTACGTATTCTTCAGTTCAATAAATATTTATTATATGCCAAGCACTGGAGGATACCACCAGATGCTCCAGATCTGTCATCCATGAGTCTTCAGGGTCCCTCACATAAATCATCTGCCACGGTTTGTTGGGTCAGCCTTAACAGTATCTCACCCACTCTCTTCTCTAATAGAGCCACAACCCTCATTCAGATTCTAATCATCTTTTCCCCAGACTATTTTAACAGTCAACTAAAAGCTCTGCCCAACTGTGGTTTCACAGCACTCCAATCCATCCTCTTGATGGCTGCCAAATTAACATTCCTGGGAACACATCTGACCGCAACCTGGAACATGGCTCTTCCCTGCTTCAAAGAAAAATCACAAACTCCTACAGCCCCTCTACTTCTTGTTCCTTTCTGCCTTTCTGCCCTATTTCAAATCACTACACACAGGATTCAAGCCAAACTGGCAGGTAGCTCAGATGAAGAGCTTGAACAGTGGCATCCCATCACTCCCTTCTGTGCTTCTGGATATGCTAGCCAACCCTCAGGCCTGGGACACATTTCCACCTCATCCCTGCCTCACTTGCTTGAAGGCACCACCTCTTAAGTGAAGCCTCTCCTATTGCCTGAAGCTGTTGTGCTCTCCCCTTCTGGAAATTATTTGCACCCCAGTAGAACAGAATCCCGCTCCATGAAGGCAGAATCATTTTTGTATGCCATAGCCTTAGAAGGCACTCAGTAAATGTTTAGTAAACTGACTTCCACATGAAAGCCTTTCACAGATTTAAATACAACAGTCATGTTCACCCTAAGTCATCCTCTCTGGTAATGTCAAGGATTCTTTATGTGCCCTCTTATTGTCTTTAGCCGGTCTTCTCTAGACATGCTCTGGTTGTCAATGTCCCTTTTTAAAAAGTACTCAAAAGTGAACACAATACTTTTAAGTGGGATGTGACCTTCACAGGGCCCACACTCTAGGTCAAGATATTCCTATGGGTCTTAATTTAATCTATGAATAAAATCAAGGACTTAGATTCAATTATCCTCAAGGTCCCTTTCTAGCTCTATAATTTAATACTGATCCTTATTAAATTTCCTCTGCATATTATCATAGACCGTTTTCTGGCCCCCAGTACATCCAATCCATGAGCCATCATTCTCTGATTCATGCCATGTAAGAATGTGATTTATAAATCTTTTCATTCTTTATATGCCATTTAAAAGCACACTGTAGATAAGTGTTGAACAGGAACAGAAGAGGGCCATTCAGAGTCCAACAGAAAACCACTCAAGATGTTATTCTGGGTTGGCATTACTGATCCACTGGTCCCTGATTGGTTACCAATTCAATTAAGTCTGCTACTACTCAGATCTCTTCTCCCTACCCACTTCACAACAGTATCATGGGACTCTGTTACAGATATACTAGGTCAGTAGTGTTCCCTTCAGTGAGTTTAAAAATGCTATAAATTAGGGAAATCACCCCTTGCTGGCTCAAAACGAACATTTTCTAAAGTGCTCATAAACCAGCTTTAACAACCCATTTAATAATAGTGTCAGAAACTAAGTTCCCTTGTACTATTAAGGCTTAAAGTTTTAAGGACTCATAAAGTCTTTCTCAGGATTAAAGAATTTTAGAGTTAAAAGGCACCTTGGAGGTAACTTATTCCAACTCTCCCTCCCTTTACTCCCTCCTTCCTTCTTTCCCCTCTCCCTTAATAGATGGGAAACACACCAAGGCCTATAAAGAGGAAGTGAATTCTTGAAGATCACACTTGTGGTAAAGGTCCTTTGATTCTCAATCCCACGTTCTTTGCATTAGACTGTAACTTCATCTCCATCATAAGAACGCTATGGTAGGGCCCGCGTGAATTTTGCATGTTCTTTCACTGTGAGCCACCAATGACTTAGAATGGATTTTATCTAGCATATGCTTACCAGTGTCCTCCACCCTTAGAAGCAATTAGTGATTCCTTTGGCTTGCTAAGGCCTGTACATCTGCTTCCTGGGAGGTGGGAATCTTTTCTCACAAGCTGCATTAAAGAGAAAATACAAAAACAAGGGGGAAAGAAAATAAGCTTTCTCAAAAATCATTTGGCCAAGCTAAAGGCTAAGCAGAGGCAGGTAAAGTTTAACCAGCTGTTTTTGTTAAGCAAAGTTACATCAACAAGAGCAATACTTGGATGAAATCAATACTGCTCCTTCCCCCACGACAGTAAATAAGATTTAGTGTAATGGCAAGTTAATAAGAACTAGGAAGTCTCCTAGCTCTACCTACTCCACCTGACAACACAAACTGTGGATAAGAAAATAGCAAAATAGAATGTACAATGAGGTAGGAGGGGCATGGACTCCTACAATCCACGGGCCATCCTCCATCAGGTCAGTGTTACAGACTTGGTTGAACTGCAGAAGGACATGAGAGCAGCTAGTCCTTTTCAGATGGTAATGCTGATCTATGGCCACAGGCAAGCTATTTAACTTCTCCTGTCTAACTAAGATTACACATTTATAAATAATGAGAACAACCATTTTTACTTGTCTAATAGAGTGGTTGGGAGACTGCCAGCAATGAAGTAAAGTATTCATATGAAAGAGTTGGGGGGGGGGGTGAGAAGGAGATAGAAGAGACTCCAGTAAGGTAAATTAAGATCAAAACAAAAGACTGGCAACTTGGTGAATCTCAGAGGACAAAGCCAGGAGCCACTGCTTCTCATATTTAAATGTGGAAAGTAGTTTATTATTTGAGTTATGTCCATTCTTGATGAGAGAAGAAAATAATGTGGGCAGCTGGAGCCAGACTTATCAATTGTGGCAGCTGTTTTACCAATCCACATAGCAGCTATTAAAGGCAAATCACAAAGGCAAGGTTCGAGACCAAGGTCTTAATGATTCAGCAGCAGCCAATTAAGTGGCAGTTCTGTGGGGAGGGAAATGAACAGGAAGAAAGAGTTAGTTGTTTGGCCAACTGAGTCCACCAAACAGGCTAGGTCATATATGTGACAGTATAGGTCAAAAAGATGGATTTTTGCCCAGAAATCTGGAGGTTTACATACATAGCACTATTGAAAGTGGATTGGAAAGCATGACCTCCAAATAGGATGGACAACATGGCTTCCAGAAGGGAAGCTCAATGCAAGTTAAAACTAGAAAAAACCCTGACCCCAATGAAAGCAACCACTCACCCACAGAAGGTTAATTAGCTTTATCGGAGCACCACACTTGTTCTAAATGCAGCTGGATAAAATTCCACAAACAAGACCTAGTCATTGCTCTTAAGCAACCTAGCATGTCTGATATGAATACACAATTGAAATGCAAAGCAAAATTTGAAAAGTACAAAGAAATCTAGCCAAGGTGCTGGGAGGAAGCAAAGGAGGGAAGGATTACTTCAAGGTGAGACAAAGAGCAGAGAGTTAGGAAGATAGGAAACTGTACCCAAGTCACAGGGAGGAGCTACCACCGATAAATGGAGGTCAAAGCCCACTGAATCTGAAAAGGTGAAGGGGAATTCTGAAATAATCTAGTCCAACTGTACCAAAATAAGAACTGCTTTTTCAATAGATTTACAATGAGTCTGGACTGCCTGACTTTTGTGGACTTCTCCATCATGGCCCAGAAATCTTTTTATCCCAAAGATCGTGTCAGCCCTGTAACTGGCACCTCAAGAATTTCTTGGTGTCCCTGGGTCCCCTCCCTCTGACTGGACAGCTTCTAGTAAACTCTCTCTTTAACAAGGGTTCCCAGGACAGGCATCTCTTTATTTCCACAAGGCTGCATTCCTCTCTCATTCTCCATCAGCCTCATCCCTTCCCCCTCCTGCTCTCTTTCCACCTACCATTTTAAATCTGTTGCTTAAACGTTCTAAGACAATTCCAAAAGACTCATGACGGAAGACGTGCCCACATCCAGAGAAAGAACTATGCAGTCTGAATGCAGATCGAAGTATACTATTTTCTTTGTTGTTTTTTCTTTCTCATAGTTTCCCCCTTTTGTTCTGATTCTTCTTTCTCAACAGGAAATGTTTAATATGATTGTACATGTACAGCCTATATCATATTGCATGCTGTCTTGGGGAGGGGGGAAAATTTAGGACTCAAACTCTTATAAAAGTGAATGCTGAAAACCAGAATTTAAAAAATCTGGTGCTCAAAACCTTGGGCAAGTCACTCTCGAGGCCTGTTTCTTCATATATTTAAAATGAAGAGATTCAATCAGAAGGCCTCTGAGGTCACTCTGTGGGCTACATACAATTCTATAATCTTAACCTCACACATGCCAGATTATAGGAGTTATTTCCTTTACCAGACAACAGAGCATTAGCACTGATGACCAGGAGTGGTATGAACAAAGATGGCCCTTAGAAAAAACGACTTTGCAGGCAGCTAGGTGACCCAGTGGATAGAGTGCCAACCCTGGGGTTCAGGAGGACCCGAGTTCAAATGTGACCTCAGACACTTGATATTTAGTAGCTGCGTGACCCTGGGCAAGTCACTTAACCACAAAAGCCTCAAAAAAAAAGGATCTGAATATTGTGATTTATGAGAATGATAAACTTTAAAGGAGGAAAATGTATTGCAGAAATAGAGATCGGGAATAACACCGGGAAGGTAAGGCAAGGCAAAGCCAGTGCTGGACAAAGTGGTCAGGGATGTAGAGCTCTCAAAAAGAAAGGCAGCCTGGGGCAGCCAGGTGACCCAGTAGATAGAGCACCGGCCCTGAAGTCAGGAGGACCTGAGTCAAATCTGACTTCGGATACGTGACACCAGCTGTGTGACCCTAGACAAGTCACTTAACCCCAAATGCCTCAACAACAACAACAAAACATATATATATATATATATATATATATATATATATATATATATATATATATATATATACACACACACACACACATATATGTATGTGTAGATAGATAGATAGATAGATAGATAGATAGATAGATAGATAGACAGACAGACAGATAGATAGATAGATTGATTTACAGGCGCTAGGGGCAGCTATGTGGCACAATGGATAGAGCACCGGCCCAGGAGTCAGGAGGACCTGAGTTCAAATCTGGTCTCAGACCAGATAGTTGACACTAGCTGTGTGACCCTGGGGAAGTCACTCAACCCCAACTGCTGTGCCAAAAAAAAACCAAAAAATGGCAGCCTTTAATCAAATAGAGCTAAAAGGAATGTAAGCTATACAAAGGGCATTTGTTAACAACACAGCACAAATTCCAATGGGCACAGTAGGAACGTTAAGTTCCATGAGGGAAAGGGATTATCTCACTCTTGGCTTTGTACCCATCCCTATGTAAGTGCCTATTATTGGCCAGGTAATGGGTCAGGCAAATAAAAGGTGCTTAAAAAACACTTGATGAATGACTGATGGGCAGACAGACTGGAAGAGCGCATTGGTCAATAGGGATATGCCCAGCTCACCCAGGCAGACCTACCAACACAAGGCAGGCTGGACACATTTCGGGAAGTCCCAACCACAAGTAAATTTTCAAGGGTGATATGCCACTTCTGAGACTTTTCCAGCTCTTCCCCTTCCTCTTCATTCTCTCACACAAACTCCCTCCGCATACACACAACACCCCACATACCCTAGAAATGAATGTGATATGGGACTTGGGCATTCTGCCCAGGGCATCCCAGATGCTTTCTAAGATAGGAGAGGCCTTTCTGAACAGTGAAAGAATTCTGATTTTTTTTTACCCCAAGAGTGCCAACTAACAAATCTCATCAACTTTTTTTTTCTTTAATTAAACTGTCTACTGTGTAAGTATTGTCTACTGAGGCAGTTAGCAGTAGACAGAGCTCCCAATCCAGAGTCTGGAGTTCAAATGCAGCCTCAGACACTTAACCTCTGCCTCAGTTTCCTCACCTGTAAAATGGGGATAACAGCACCTTTGCAGGGTTGTTATGAGGGTTAAGTGAGATAATATTTGTAAAGTGCTCAGCACAGCCAGTACATTACAGGTGCCATACAAATGCTTATTCCATTGTCCCCTAAGGGGTAGCAACAAACCACTACCAATTCCATTTTAGAAAAAGGAGAAATCAGGGCACAGAGAGATGACTTAAATTTCTGGGAGTCACAAAAAGATAGATTGTAAAGGAGCCAGAAACAATAAATACCCAAGCCTTCCACCAGCTAACCCTGCTCAAACCACTGTTGTATCATCAGAGCACCAGACCTCTAGGAACTACATGCTTCATCTGTGGAGGCCACAAATTTGACTCACTCTATCCTGTGGACAGAAGCCAAATCAGGGGCACCTAGGTGGCACGGTGGATAGAGCACCTGCCCGGGATTCAGGAGCACCTAAGTTCAAATCCGGCCTCAGACACATAACACTTACTAGCTGTGTGGCCCTAGGCAAGTCACTTAACCCTACTGTCTAGCCAAAAAATAAATAAATAAGCAAAAGAAGCCAAATCAAAGGGTTAACACTCAGATGCTGCAAGAGGTAGGATGCCCCAAGCCTGGGTTCTGAATGGGCTTCTTTGGTTGTCAGATAATTGAGAGCCCAGAGGAGAGGATCAGGATGGTAAAACCCATACAACAACAACAATAAAAATCGAGGACTTCAGCCTTAAGTGGATACTTTAAGATAGATGAAAGGCAAGGGAATACTCAGGAACTGATAAGGAGTAAAGCAGCTGAAGGGCAGAAAGGGAGGAACCAGGTCAAAGGGATCAGTGGGGTAGCCTGAGATGCTGACAGCATAAAACCAGAACAGGCTGAAATCAAGGAAAACCCATGACATCACAAAGCTGGCAGAGGGAAACTGTGTATGTATGCTTCAATCTGTCTTCAGATACCACCAGTTCTTGCTCTGGGGATGGATAGCATTTTTCATTCTAAGTCCTTCAGAGTTGTTTTGGATCGTTGTATTGCTGAGAATAGCTAAGTCAAAGCTGATCATTTCACAATATTGCTCTTACTCTGTACACAGTACACTTCACTTTGCATCAGTCCATTCAAGTCTTTCCAAGTTTTTCTGAGAGTATCTTGCTCATCATTTCTTATAGCA